AAACAAACAAACAAAATAAAGTCATTCTGTCCAAACAAAACATACCATCAAGCCACAAAAGAAAAATCAATTCTTTCCCAAATAAAACAATTAAAGAACTTGTAATAATAACCGTTGATCTCCACACACAAATATATGAATTCAATTACACACATACACTCTCACTCATAGCAGTTAAATCATATTAAAGAGACTTTTACCTTTTATAGTAAATCCCTTAGCCCAGTAGGTTTGGGAAATAAGTTACCTGTTGCATTTTCTTGTATTCACCCACTCTGGCATAAGCCATGAAGAGATGAGAGTGATACTCCTCACTGTTGGGGACTTTCTTCACAGCTGCCTCATAAAGTTTTGTAACCAACTCCGCTAAGATTAAAAAAAAAAGAGAGATTTAGTCATACTCCAATAAATTAAACCCTAAAAGCATTTTAATTTGTCTCTTATTTGGTGAAAAGAGATATAGCTTATCATTAAAGAAAGAGATATCTGCTTTGCCTTACCTGGTCATTACTATTCCCTTGCTACATGTTGTTAGGATGAAACATGGATTAGATCAAGCCTCATCACATTTACAGTATTTACAGACCCTCCAGGACCTGGCCTCTCTCTCTCCTCCCTTTCTCCCAGGAGTTTATCATCTAGATACATCAAACTATAATTCCACTAGACTCCCTGTGATGTATCATAACTCCATGCCTTCATATTCTTGCCTCCACATAGATTCTCCTTTCTTCTTTTATACTTAGTGAGCATGATCCAACACCCAATTCAGATGTAATCTTCTCTGCAAGACCTTCCCTGAACACCGTCTCTGCTTCTCCAGTCCAACTGCATCAGTGTATCTCTCTGCCATCTTAGAATCTTATAAATAATTCTATTACAGCATTTATTAATACACAATGCGGTATACATCCTAATGATCCATTTCCCATTATGAATTTTGAGGAATATCCAGGCAGAAAAGAGTTTTCTTCATTTTTGACTCATACTGACACAATACCTGGCACAGAGAAACCACCACCAACATTTGTGAAATGGATTTTTTTTTTTTGTTTTTTGTTTAGGTACTGAGGATTGAGCTGGGGGTGCTCTGTCACTGAGCTACATTCCCAGTCCTTTTATTTTATATTTTGAGACAGAGTCTAACTAAGTTGCAGAGAGTCTTGCTAAGTTCCTGAGTTGGCCTCAAATTTGCAATTCTCCTGCCTCAGACTTGGAAGTTACTGGGATTACTATGTGCCAATGTGCCTATAATAAATTATTTTTAAAAAACACTAGAGGAGAATCAATATAATATCTAAATAATCAGATATAATACTTCAACTTTTACCTTTTATAAAAATGTTTTATTTTACCTTTTATATCAAGTTTTATCTTTTGTAAGAACTAAAAACAAAATTAAACCATAAAATAACATTTTATGCACAGTAGGTTTAAAAGTTAAGAACTCTAAGCATTCCACCAAGCATAGTAGTACACACCTATATTCCTGTCAGCTCAGGAGGCTGAGACAGGAAGATCACCAAATTCAAGGCCAAGCTTTGCAACTTAGCAAGATTCTATCTCAAAATAAAAAATAAAAAGGGCTGGGCTGAGGCTGTAGTAGAGTGGCAGAGTGCTAGCCTAGCATGTGCAAGGCACTGAGTTCAAGTCTCGGCACCACATAAAATAAAGTATTATCTCCATCTACAACTTAAAAACAATTTTTAAAATTGGGGGGTGGGATGGGGTAGTGCTGGGGATGTAACTCCACCACAGAGTAGTACCCCTGGGTTCAATTTCCAGTACCACCTAAAAAAAGGAATACCAAATATTAGCTTGGGTAGTATGCATGCATAAGGCCCTAGGTTCAATCCCTAGAAGAAACAAAGAAAGAAAACAAAATAAACCAAGTGTTGAAAAGGTTGTGAAAGAATCACAAACTGCCAGTATCGTTAGAAAATGATGACATTCGTCATACGGCATAACAATTACATGCCCAGAGTCCCCCAGTGAAATATTGTCTGGCAATGAAAATGAATTGAGCACAACCACTTGGATATTAGAGGAAAAATGCAAATAGAGTATACTGTATAAACAATTTACATAAAGTTCAAAATCAAGTAATAATATATTATTAGTTAGGAAAAGAAATGTGGTGATTATTTAAAGAAAAGTAAGAGGGCTAGGGATGTAGCTCAGTGGTAGAGCACTTGCTTTGTATAAAGAAAAGAAGGGAGGAAGAAATGAGAGGGAGAGAGCAAGGTGGGAAATGAATAAAAACGGTTCAAGGTATCAAGTACCTCATGGGGGAACTGAGATTAATGAATAACATCACAGAAAGCCTATCTAATATCAATAGTTCTTTATTTCTTAAATTGAGGAGTAAGTTCATGAGTATTCATTATGTATCAAATTTACTAGTATTTTACATGCAATATATTCTTTCATAGTATGTTATGAAAAAAAATGTATGATTTCATAGAAAATTATTTAAAAAATCAACAATAAAAACTTTATTTAACGCCAGGTGTGGTGGCACATGCCTATAATCCCAGTGGCTCAGGAGGCTGAAGCAGTAGGATTATGAGTTCAAAACCAGTCTCAGTAGAAAGCGATGTGCTAAGCAACTTAGTAAGACCATGTCTAAATAAAATACAAAATAGGGCTGGGGATGTGGCTCAGTGGTCAAATGCCTCTGAGCTCATCTCCAGTACCCAAAAAACAAACAAATAGCGGAAAAAAAAAAAAAAAACCAACAACAACACTTTATTTAATGCAACTTCTTTACCAATGAAATGAAAGATATGCTCTGAAATAATGTGGGGTAAGGTATGGACAAAATAAAATTAACCATATATTAATAATCGCTAAAGGTCAATAATGGTTACAATGGGATTATTATGCTATTCTACTTTCGTTTATTTGAAATTTTCCATATTAAAAAGTTAAAACACCCAGCAAGATCTCCAAAAAAAAAAAAAACTTAAAAAAACTGAAGTTAAAATAAGGACAAGGACTTCTTTAAGCACACCATAAGGTTACAAACAAATTCATTTAAATCATTTCAATTCAAGGAACTTAATACAAAGTAAACTATCCTGTCTGTGAAGTCTTTACAAATCGCTGGGTACAGTGGCACACAACTATAACCCCAGAGGCTCGTGAGGCAAGAGGATGGTGAGTTTGAAACCAGTCTCAGCCAACAGTGAGTTTCTAAGCAACTCAGTGAGACCCTGTCTCCAAATAGAAATATAAAATATGGTTGTGGATGTTGAGTTCAATCCCTAGTACCCCCCAAAATAAAAGTCTTCACAAATCATGGTTAACATATTAATCTCCTTACTATTAACCATGCAAATCATGAGTGACAAACAAAACAAAACAGAACAGAATTAGATCAGAAGCACGTGAAAACTGCTAGGTATGGTGGTGGCAGCCCTCTAATCCCAGCTATTCAGAAGGCTGAGAGTCACAAATTCAAGGCCAGTCTGGGCAATTTTGAGAGATCTAGTCTCAAAATAAAAAAGGGCTGTGGATGTAGTTCAGAGGCACAGAGGTAGAATCCTCCTGATTCCCAGTATAACAAAGGAGAGAGAAAAAAAAAAAAAAAGAACTATCCAAAACCAGGAACTCATGGTATGTATACACACAATGAATATTACTCAGCCATAAAGAATGAAATTATAGCATTTACCAATAAATGGATGGAACATGCTAAGTGAAATAAGCCAATCTCAAAAACCCAGAGGCTGAATGTTCTGATATGTGAATGTTAACTCACAAGAAGCGGGGACAGGGGTGGGAGAGAAATAAAACTTCATCAGATTAGACAAAGGACAATGAGGGAATAGGAGGAAGGATGGAAACAAGAAATACAGTAGAATGAATTGGACATAACTTTCCTATGTTCTTTTTTAAAAATGTTTATTTTAGCTGCAGATGAATACTATACCTTTATTTTATTCATTCATTCATTTATTCTCCTTTTGGTACACTGGGAATTGAACTCAGGAGCATTCTACCTCTGTGCCTCTGAACTACATCCACAGCCCTTTTTTTATTGTGGGGCTGACAATCAAAGCCTCACATGTGCTAGGCAAGCACTCTACCACTGAGCCACAACCCCAGACCCTTTCCTATGTTCTTATATGAATACATGACCAAAGTAACTCCACAACATGTACAACCACAAAAATAGGAAGTTATGCTCCATGTATGTATGTCAAAATATTTTCTACCATGTATAAGTAAAAAAACCAAATAAATAATTAAACAAAAAAAACCCTGTAAATTCAGGTTTAAAAAGCAATGAAAAGAAACTCACGTCGATGCATCTCTCGGTAAAGAATAGTCAGTGCCTGTAGTGAGTTGTCATCTGTGGGTTCAAGGGCTGCCACCTCCTGTGCCAAGGTGAAGGCTTCCTCTTGCTTCCCAGTTCTCTGTAAACCAATTGCTTTTAAAACCTGTCAGGAAGGAGAAAAAAAATCAGTTTTTAAAAGTACAGAGCTGGGCACTGTGGCACACACCTATAATCCCAGTAGCTCAGGAAGCTGAGACAGGAGGATCATGAGTTCAAAGCCAGCCTCAGCAACAGCGAGGCACTAAATAACTCAGTGAGACCCTGTCTCTAAATACACACACACACACACAAAAATAGGGCTCAGTGGTTGAGTGACCTTGAGTTCAATTCCTCATACCCAAAAATAAATAAATAAAAGTACAGAAAAGGAGCTGGGCATGGTGGCACACGCCTGTGATCCTAGTGACACAGTAGGCTGAGGTAGGAGGATTGCAGGTTCAAGGCCAACCTCAATAACTTACCAAGACCGAAGCCATTTAGCGAGACCCTGTCTCAAATTTAAAAAAGAGACTGGGGATGTGGTCCCTGAATTCAATCCCTGGTACCCCCAAAGAAAAAAAAAAAAAAAACAGAAAAGGAGGTGTTTTTAGAACTTTAGTCCCACAAATCAAAAAAAAAAAAACCAGAAAAGGAAATGTATAAAGAACCAAAGAGGGGACTGGGGTTGTGGCTTAGAGGTACAGCGCTTGCCTAGCACATGCGAGTCCCTGGTTTGAGCCTCAGTGCCACATAAAAATAAAGGTATTGTACCCAACTACAACATATATATATGGTAGAGTGCTTACCTTGAATACACAAGGCCCCGAGTTCAATCCCCAGAAACACACACACACACACACACACACACACACACACACACACACAGAGAAATACCAAAGAAGGCAAATTTGAAAGCAGAAATTGTAAGGTATCCCTTGGATGCTGCTCAATTAAACTTGTCTTTACTAAAAGTATAAGCAAATCTAGATTCCTTCCTATTTCAGTCATACTAAGAATAAATGATATTGTTTAGAAGAACTCAATGAAAAAGAAAGTATTTGAATTAGATAAGTAATATCAACAAATATAAACTAATTTTCAATTAAGTACTATTAATGGCATGTGAAGTGATCAGAAAAGTACTATTAAATACTCTGAAAAAATCCAAACAGTCACTAAAAAAATCAAATGTCTTTGCGCTAGGAACTTAGCTCAATGGTAGAGTACCTGACTAGTATGAACAAGGCCCTGGTTCAATCCCTGGTACCACAAAAACAAAAACAAAAAAGATGAAATGTCCTTTCCATTTAAAGAATTACAACCCTAATCCACAAATTAAGTAACTTAAGGGCAAAGGGACTTACCTTAGCGCAATGAAGATCTTTATGCTTCTTCAACAGTTTATCTGCTTGCTGAATTGCCATTTTGTTATTACCATTATCAAGATAATCTGTGAAAAAAAAAAAGAAATTATATATTGTTATATTTCTTCAACAACAAATATGAAAATGCACAGGCTGCTTTCATTTGTTTCAGAAAGTATCTTAATTTGCCATTAAAACCATCATGGTGGGTATTGGGATACAGCTCAGTAGGGATGGAGCACGCATTTGTCTAGCATGCACAAACCTAAAAGAAAATTTAAAAAGATTCATGGAGGGACCAAGGGTGTCATTCCATCATAGTAAAGTCTATTTAATATGTATAAGGCCCTGCACCAAAAACAAAAGAAAAACAAGATGATTTTAATTCTAAATGGCTAGGATGGCCCAGAAAATGACTTTACATTTCTATATACAACTCTATATTCCAAAAGCAATATAATCAGGCTATATTAATCCTTAGTGAAGATTCAAGACTACATGGATGGGATGTAATCTTCCCTCTCACATGTGAGGCACTGGGTTCGATCCTTAACACCATATAAAAGTAGATAAAATAAAGGTATTGTGTCTAACTACAACTAAAACAAAATTAAATATGTATATTTATTAAGTATTTACTTTGTTACATAGCTAATTACTAAGTGAAGAAGAAAATTAAAGGTTTTCTCCATAAGCCTAGAATATAGGGAACAAAGCAGGACAAGATGTAGAGAAAAATGACACTTTTAAAACTGATTAAAACAGAAGCTAGCACTTTCTTTGAAGAACAATTTACTTCTAGTTTCCCAAAGCTACATATGTACCTATACCTATTCAAAAACAATTTTTTATTGAATGTATTTGAGGTATACATGATATACACATACATGACATACAAATATGGACAGTACATAGTAAAATGCTTACTATAATTAAGCAAATTAATATAACCGTCACCTCATATTGTTACTATTTTTGTGGGTGGTTAGAGCAACCTAACATTTGCTCAGCTAACTTTCATTGTATAGTACAATATTATTAACTACAATCCTCATGCTGTTTGTTAGAGCTCCAGGGATTCATAATAGTAATTACAAGTTTGTCCCCTTTGACCTACATCTCCCCTGTTCCTCCCCCTCTTTGCTAAGAGCCACAACCAAGTAATATGATGCGTGGCATTTTTGGTTGAAAAGTGACCCCAGCTAGCCATTGAGATCATATGATTATGTTAAGATTTACATTCATATGGATATTGGACTCCTGCTGTCCACCTTGGCCTGCTAAGGGACTCCTGGAGAGTTCCCATTGGTTGGGGAAGTGCGGTAGGAGGGATTTCCAGAGGAGGAACTTCCTCTTAGGATCTGGAAGAACCCCCGTAGATCGGGATTCTTTCTGGGGGCGTACGGGGCATTGGCAGCAGTTTCAAAAAATAAAGTTTGTTCCTGCTTGAGTGGCTCGTGATTTTGTGCCTAGCCAGACTTTGGTACCTCTTTACTACTGGATGCAGGCGCGCAAGCGCTCTATCTCTCTCTCTCTCTCTATATGTGTGTGTGTGTGTGTGTGTGTGTGTGTGTATATATATATATATATATATATACACACACACACACACACTTCTACATATAACTGTTAAACTCCACTTTCTGCTCATTTTCTATAACCTAAAACTGCTCTAAAAATAAAGTCTATTAATTAAAAAAGAAAGTCTAAGCTCAGATTCATTTATGGAGAAGAAAAATGAGAAGTGTGGTAAATGGGAAGCAGTGCAACAACAGTCAGTCCAATTCAGGTTCCTCTCTGCTCATTAACAGGTTCCAGGTTAGCACAGGCCTGGACCACTCAAAATATATGGTCCTGGTAGCGCAAAGTTTCAAATAACAGAAACAGACTATCATTTTGTTTATTTAGTTTACTTTAGTTTTTTTTTTTTTTTAATATGGTGCTGGGGATGGAACCCAGTGCCTCACGCATGCTAGGCAAGTGCTCTACCACTGAGCCACAACCCAGCCCCTCATTTTATTATATGGTTTAGATTTTCCTCCAATAAACTCTCAGTAAATCTTTCAACAGACTCCAACTGAATACATGAAATTCATCTCTAATCTTTCTTGAGTGAAGTTAATGTTGATAAGCACCAATAAAGCAAGGTAAAAAGATGAGAAACCTTATTCTGTAGGGAATTCAATCTAGAGAGGAAGATCAAAGAACATTTGGCCGGGGTGCAGTGGCACAAACCTGTAATCCCAATGGTTTGGGAGGCTGAGACAGGAGACTCAAGAGTTCAAAGCCAGCCTCAGCAACTGCGAGGCACTAAGCAACTGAGTGAGACCCTGTCTCTAAATAAAATATAAAACAGGGCTGAGATTGTGGCTCAGTGGTAGAGCGCTTGCCTAGCATATGTAAGGCACTGGGTTCGATTCTTAGCACCACATACAAATAAAGAATAAAATAAAAAATTTCATCAACAACTAATAAAAATATTTTTTAAAAATACAAAATAGGGCTGGGGATATGGCTCAGTGGTCGAGTACACCTGAGTTCAATACCCAGTACCAAAAATAAATAAATAAATAAAAAGATCTAACATTTAGATAGAGGGATTAAAGAATTATAGGAATTGATTGAAAAGCATACAATTTTGACCTGAATACTGAAATAACTAAAGCCAATTTTCTTAAATCCTTAGCTCAGCTGACAGGCCTTTATTTATCCTTATAGAATAGAGGACAGATAAACCAACCCAATAAATGAAAACTTCTCTTCCTAGTCAATTGATGCTGATTTATTCTGAGTAAGTTCTAAGTTACTTCTGACTCAGTCCTGCAAAATTCAGGTTCACAGAATATATCTTGAGTAGACATCTTAAACCAGGCCTGGTGGTGCATGCCTGTAATCCCATTGGCTCAGGAGGCTGAGGCAAAAGGATTGAGAGTTCAAAGCCAGTCTCAGCAAAAGCCAGACACTAAAAAACTCAGTGAGACCCTGTCTCTATATAAAATACAAAATAAACCTGGGGATGTGGCTCAGTGATCAGAGCCCCCGAGTTTAATCCTTGGTACCAAAAAAGAAAAAAAAGATAGACATCTTAAACAGGCACAGTGGTGCATGCCTGTAATCTGAGCAATTCAGGAGGCTGAGGCAAGAGGATCACAAATTCAAGGCTAGCCTTGGGCTGGGGATGTGGCTCAAGCGGTATCCCGCTCGCCTGGCATACGCGGGGCACTGGGTTCGATCCTCAGCACCACATAAAAATAAAATAAAGATACTGTGCCCAACAAAAACTGAAAAATAAATATTAAAAAAAAAAAGGCTAGCCTCAACAACTTAGTGAGACCCTAAGCAATGTAGTGAGACCGTGTCTCAAAATAAAAACTTTGAAAAGGGTTAGGGGTGTAGTTCAGCAGTAAAGCACCCCTGAGTTAAATTCCAGTACAAAACAACCCCCCCCCAAAAAAACTAACTAGACATCTCAAAGTGTAGACATATTTGATAAGACCCAACTCTGAGAGCTTACCCATAAATGAATCAGTCCAGAAGTCAGGACTTTAAGGACATTTTCCTATTCCCTCTGTAGTTGACAAGGTTCTGACATACAGTACCAATGTGCCTAGCCCTATTTTCTGAGAGTGGTTTCCATTGTCCTTGTTAATAGGGTACAACTAGATGACCATGTTTAGACCATGTAACTGGATGAACTTTTGGCCCAGGCTAGGTCAGATTTCTTCCTTATAATTTTTAACTATAACGAGGAAAACTTAGTCTAAGAATACTAGTGGCAGCTCCAGAATTTCTGTTTTGAAGAAGCTTTAGAGGACACAAATTAGTTTATGGGGAACAAACGCAAGTACTACCTCTTGACTTCCTCTTGACTTTTTGTTCACAGAGCCTTTATACAGGAATAAAAAACATCAATTATCTTTATCAAAACTCTGAGAGACCAGGCAATGCCTGTAATCCCAGTGGCTCAGGAGGCCAAGGCAGGAGGAACTAGAATTCAAAGCCAGGATCAGCAAGAGCTAGGTGCTAGCCCACTCAGTGAGACCCTGTCTCTAACAAATAAAAAACTCTGGAGGGAAGGGCAGTCCTGAAGAAGCTTGTTGGGGGATGATAATGAATGAACAGTTCCTCCTCTGGCCAAAGCTTGGTATGGCCACAAAGCCAACAGAGTAATGTCCCAAGTGAGCAGTAAAATAAGTCTGAAGAACAAGGCCTAGAAAAATAGAGATGAGCAACTGAGAAATAAGCTTTAGATCATGGCAGCTTTCTAGTTTCCATCAAGAAAGACAAAGGGCACACTTCCTCCCTGCTCTTGATTCCCTCAAGTTTTTAGGAACTACCCTAACTTGAGCTGGTTATCAGTCAGTTTTGTTCCTTGCACCCAAAAGAATTTTAACTAAGAAACTTCACTGCATTCAACTTCACTGATGTCAAACTCTCCTTTCCTCAATGGCTAAGTGACTGATTATTAATGGTTGCTAACCCTCTTTTTATTTTTTTAAAATTTTTTATTTTTTAGTTGTAGTTGGACACAATCCTTTTATTTATTGTTATATGGTGCTGAGGACCGAACCCAGGGCCTAGCATGTGCTATGCGAGCACTCTACCGCTGAGCTACAACCCCAGCCCCAAATTTCTTTTTTTAGGAGAAGAAAAGAAAAAAATTATGTTTTAGTTGTTAATGGACCTTTATTTTATTCATTTATTTATATGGGGTGCTGAGAATCGAACCCAGTGCCTCACATGTGAGGCAAGCTCTCTCATCACTGAGCTACAACCCAGCCCTAATTGGTTGCTAACTTTATTGTGGAAAGTTTATTTTCAATTTACATTACTGACTCTCTAACACAAATTACATAGCCCTTAGTGAGGAACTTTGGATTGGGCAAAGTGGGGGAGCAAGGAGTATAAGGATAGGAAAGATGGTGGAATGGGATGGTGATCATGACCCTAGGTACATGTATGTTGAGTACAACCAAAGAAGTGAAAAATTCCGCTCCATTTGTGTACGATGAATCAAAGAGCTTTCTGCTGTCCTGTATAACTGATTAGAATGAATGAATAAATAAATGCCAAAAAGAAAGAGTTG